GGTCCTTTGAGCGGAAGGCGCTGGGACCGAACTGGGGATGCCCACTGATTGTGCAAAGCGCAGGCTCTGCCCCCGGGGAGTGTTGTGGTGCCCCTCGGAATTCGCCAGCTGTGCTGTGCAGAAGAGAAACACCACCACCCCCCCCCCGGGTGCGGCCAGGGGTAACTCTGGGAGGCGGGAGGGGCTGTGTCCCAGGAGGGGTGGGGAGCTGCCGCCTTCTCCCCCTCGCCTGCCTCTGAAGGGGGTGCCTCGCCTGGCACGGTGCTGGCGGCCCTCTTCCCATGGCCCGAAGGAGAGCCTTCATTAGCAATCCAGGCATGTCTGGCAGCGAAGGAACCAAAAGCGCGGCAGAAGAATCTGTCCAGGCACTGGAGTGAGGGGCCGGCCCAGCTGCACGGCGGTTCCAAGTCTATTCAGACCGCTGCCTTTTCAGCCAGGCAGAAAAGGAGCTCTATTCTTGCTCAGGACTCAGTGGCACCGGGGGGGGGGGGGAAGGCCTTCCCTCCCAGCCCATTTCCTCTTGCTCCGGGTTCTTGGCTAGGTGCAGGTCCCCCTCTGGTCTCCCTTCCAGGCCGCAGAAGGAGGCGAGGAAGGCAGGCGTGGCTTTCATCTGCAAGAAAGGATCTGTCCCGCAGCTGGCCAGACAGCCGGGGGTCCCGCCAGCCAGCTACCAGGTGAGGCTTGGCTCCAGACCACGGGGATCAGCCCCCCTGGAGAAAATGGCTGCTTTGGAGGGGGGGGACTCTGTGGCCGCCTACCCCACTGAGTTCCCCATTTCCCCCTGTGTTCCGCCCTCTGTCGTCCTCCTTGACCCCACCCGCTTCTCTTATGCGGGGACACTCAGCCTTGGGTGTGGTTTCCTCCCGCTTGCCCTGGACCGAGTGTTCCTATCCATACTTTGTGGCTAATGGCCACTGATGGACCTCTACTCTTAACATAAGAACATAAGAGACGCCAATGTTGGGTCAGGCCAAAGGCCCATCCAGTCCAACACTGTGTCACACAGTGGCCAAAAATACCAGGGGCCATCAGGAGGTCCAGCAGTGGGGCCAGGACACCTGGAGCCCTCCCACTGTTGCCCCCCCCCAAGCACCAAGAATACAGTGCATCACTGCCCCAGACCAAGAGTTCCTATCCATACCTTATGGATAATGGCCACTGATGGATCAGGCCAATGGCCCATCCAGTCCAACACTTTGTGTCACACAGTGGCCATAAAATACCAGGTGCCTTCAGAAGGTCCAGCAGTGGGGCCAGGACACTAGGAGCCCTCCACTTCCCCCCGTCCCCAAGCACCAAGAATACAGTGCATCACTAGCCCCAGACCGAGAGTTCCTAACTATACCTTGTGGCTTATAGCCACGGACAGACCTCTGCTCAGCTAATGATGGATCTGGCCAATGGCCCATCCCAGTCCAACACTCTGTGTCACACATGGCCAAAAATACCAGGGGCCCTCAGGAGGTCCAGCTAGGGGGCCAGGACACCAGAAGCCCTCCCACTGTTGCCCCCCCCAGCACCAAGAAGACAGAGCATCACTTGCCCCACACCGAGAGTTCCTATCCATACCTTGTGGCTAATGGTCACTGATGGACCTCTTAACATAAAAACATAAGTGAAGTCAATGTTGGATCAGGCTAATGGCCCATCCAGTCCAACACTCTGTGTCACACAGTGGCCAAAAATACCAGGTGCCTTCAGAAGGTCCAGCAGTGGGGCCAGGACACTAGGAGCCCTCCACTTCCCCCCCCCAAGCACCAAGAATACAGTGCATCACTAGCCCCAGACCGAGAGTTCCTAACTATACCTTGTGGCTTATAGCCACGGACGGACCTCTGCTCAGCCAATGATGGATCCGGCCAATGGCCCATCCCAGTCCAACACTCTGTGTCACACATGGCCAAAAATACCAGGGGCCCTCAGGAGGTCCAGCAGAAGGGCCAGGACACTAGAAACCCCTCCCACTGTGCCCCCCCCAGCACCAAGAATACAGTGCATCACTTGCCCCAGACATAAGAACATAAGAGAAGCCCATGTTGGATCAGACTAGTGGCCCATCCAGTCCAACACTCTGTGTCACACAGTGGCCAAAAACACCAGGTGCCTTCAGAAGGTCCAGCAACGAGGCCAGGACACTAGAAGCCCTCCCACTGTTGCCCTCCCCCAAGCACCAAGAATACCGAGCATCCCTTGCCCCAGACTGAGAGTTCCTATCTATACCTCATGGCTAAGAGCCACTGATGGACGTCTGCTCCCTATGCTTATCTAATTCCCTTTGATTGCAGGCCACGGGGGGGGGGTTCCTCTTGCAGGGGGCCCCACTGGACTCTGCCGTTTTCAAGATGCGCCCACCAGAACCAGTGACGTCCATTTCCTGTGCCCACCACCAGGGGCTGCGACACCTGCAAACAGGCAAGGCCCTTGGAAGCAAACGGTGTGTGTGTGTGTGTGTGTGTGTGTGTGTCATGAACTCGCATATGATGCCCAAGCCCTGGCCAAGAGGCTGGCCGCCTGCCCCCGGGTCACTGTGCCCCCCCCCTCCCGATGATAAGCTGATCGCTGCCTTCTGGGTAGCTCCTCTCCCCTCCGGAGAAGAGTCTGGGGGCTGTCGGTGGGTTTCTGTCGGGGCACGGTGACACCAGCCGGGAGGCCCAAGTGACCCGGCTGCGCAACGAGAGACAGTTGGTGGCTTTGCCCAGTGACAGCGCCACACAGGTGCTCCCGCACGGCCGGACGGGGTCACAGCCGGAGGACCTAAACAAGTATGTCTGCCAAGAGGGGGGAGGGAGTGTGTGCTTCCGGGGGGGGGGGGGCAAAGCGGCAGCTC